GTTCATCCCAAGTCTAACGCCATGCAAGAATAATGCAAAGGTGTGTGTTAAGCCCAGGAAGGCTCATGAAGTGGTATTTTTCCTTGCCCTGTACTGTATCTCCTTGGGTACAGGAGGATACAAGCCCTGCTTAGAGAGCTTTGGGGCTGATCAATTTGACGATGATCACTCGGAAGAGAGGAAGAAGAAGATGTCTTACTTCAATTGGTGGAACTTCTCTCTGTGCTTTGCCTTACTGCTTGGTGTTACTGTGGTTGTTTACGTTCAAGACTATGTGAGCTGGGGACTTGCGAGTCTTGGCCTCACTATTCTAATGGCCGTAACAATCATAGCTTTCTATGTTGGAAAGCCATTTTACAGGTTCAGGAGCTCAGAAGGAAACACTTTGACACCAATTTTGCAGGTGGTAGTTGCAGCAATAAGGAAAAGGAACTTACCCTGCCCTTCAAATCCTTCTCTGTTTTATGAAGTCCCCAAGTCACAGGGAAGGCTTCTAAGGCATACCAACAGGCTCAGGTATCCACCAATACCCTACTATTCTTACATTTCATGAACTTATTAGTTAGAAATTAATTATCCATAATTGAATCAACAGATGTCTGGACAAGGCTGCAATAATCGAAGACAGGAATGAGGATCAGGGAGACATTAACCCATGGAGACTTACGACTTTAACGAGGGTGGAAGAGACAAAGCTTATCGTTAGTATGATTCCCATATGGTTAACTTCATTAACAAACGGACTTTGCATAGCACAGAGCACAACCCTCTTCGTGAAGCAAGCAGACTCCATGAAACTCAACATAACTCACAGTTTCAAGATCCCACCAGCTTCTCTGGCCGCCGCAGGAGCTGTTGGAACCTTAATATCTGTCCCAATATACGACAGAATCATCGTCCCGTTTTTGAGGAGAGTAAGGAAAAACGAAAGAGGCATCAGCATTTTACAAAGAATCGGCATTGGCTTGGCATTCTCTGTTGTAGTTATGGTTGTGGCAGCCTTAGTGGAAAAAGAGAGACTAGGAAAGGCCATGTCTGGGAATGAAAAGATGAGTGTTTTCTGGTTGGTGCCTCAGTACTTATTGCTAGGTGTTGGGGATTCATTTTCTCTTGTGGGTTTGCAAGAGTACTTCTACGATCAAGTTCCTGACTCAATGAGAAGCTTAGGGATAGCTTTATTTCTGAGCGTGATTGGGATGGGAAGCTTCTTGAGCAGCTTTCTGATCATAATTGTGGATCATGTGACGGGGAAAAATGGAAAGAGTTGGATTGGGAAGGATATAAATATGAGTCGTTTGGACTATTTTTACTGGTTATTGGCTGTGTTAGGTGCTCTGAATTTGTGTGGCTTCGTGTTGTTGGCAAGAAGGTACACTTACAAACCAGTGCAGAGGAGGGTAATGCAAGCTGATGATGGGGTTGAAGATGAAGCCACCAGAGTTTAGCTGACACCTATGATTTCTGCTAAACATATTGTGCTACATATAATTGCCTCAAATTAGTGAATTGTTCTTCCATGGACACATTACATATTAAGATGTTTGCATGCTTAATGTTCTGGCCTTCAAGTCCGTGGCTCGTTGGGCCGTACTATCTTAAAAGTAGCCTGTTCATTGCAATTTGGCCCCAAGTACAAGTTGTATATTTGTCTATTAGACAATTGTTTACTGCTTAGTGTTCGGTTATTATTATTGTGATTTTCTTATCCTCAATATGGCAAAATCTTGGGTAATGTGTCCATATGCAATGCTCGTCATTGGAGTAACTAGTAACTATTCAAATCCAACTTAAATGGTTAAATTTTAAAGTTTTTAATTTTCAAATGAATTTATTTTTTTTTAAAAAAGGAAAATCTCACCCAAAAAAATCTGAAAATTACTAAATCCCAAATAAAATTTTTTTTAAATGATGTGTCATTATATACAAGAGTGTAGTCAAAACCTACTTAAAATATATCTTTAATTTATATTCAACATCTATTAAAATATTAAAAATAGATAAGTTAAATCAAATCCAAATCATTTAATTTTAATCCAGATGAACACCCAATGCTTATTAGTTAATATGAGCATCTAATATAATTTAGGATTTCAATTATAAAGAAATGAAGATTATTTACAGCCTAAAGGATATAGATTGACTTTATAATATACTCCTCCGGTCCTTAATATAAGACCTAATTGTTAAATTAATTTTGGTCCTAAATATAAAACATATTTCTCATATTTATTAATTTTTTCTAAATTACCCCTATGGATACTCTCTCAACTATAATCAAATAGAAGAAGAAGATGGGATATTAAGGAAGATGATTATGGTGTTTTAGGAAAAACATGTCATATTTATTATAATTAACTAATTTACCTAACTTCCTTAATATAATAAAATTAGTTAAATAGGTTTTATATTAAGAACCGGAGGAGTATTAAAGTACTTGTTTGCAATGCGATAGAATCCTTCAAAAGCAATTTTTTAATTGTGATTTACAGAATACGAAGTAAGTATATGAGAAGAGTTTTATTTTAACTTATATGAACATACTTATAAACATTTAATATATGTAACTCCATACAAGTATTAAGTTTTAGGATAATGAGGAAGCTGTACCCCCTTCTCTTAAAATAGGTCCATAAGGACGCTAGAATCAGACATATGTTAACTAATGGCAAAATTGCATCATTCTAAGTGTAGAGTTCTTTTAACCTTAAAGATATTTCATCATCGATTGTTGGAAGAAAACTAATTCTGTATATATTATTGTTACTGATGTCTCGTTATTGCTGAAATAAAAGCATCTTTATTATTGTATTCCTTCTATTTTGATTTATAAAATATTATTAGAGTGGTAATTTAATGATTCATAATATACAATATTTTGAAGAAAACAATGATTTAATTTATTAATGATTTTATTCTAAAAAAATCATCATTTATTGTGAGTTACTCCTCCGATCCTTAATATAAGATCCAATTCTTGAGTTGATTTTGGTTCTAAATATAAGACCCATTTCTCATATTTATCAATTTTCTCTAAACTACCCCTATGGATATTCCCTCAACCATAATTAAGTAGAAGAGGGAGAGGGGGTATTAAGAAATATGATTATGGTGTTTTAAGAAAAATGTGTTACTTTTTTTATAATTAACTAACTTACTTAACTTTCTTAATATAATCAAATTAGTTAAATGAGTCTTATATTAAAGACCGGAGGAGTATTTATAATGTAGTGTTAAATGAATGGCATTTTTGGGAGTTTATACTTCGTTTTGGAAAAAGTTAAGGTTTCTAACTAGATTTAATGTATTTAATTGATTTATACATTTCTTATATGTTGATTGCATATATAAAAGTTGATAGAATTAAGAATCTTATATTTAACATCAAAACAAATAGAATCAAAGTGACTAGTTTATCTGCTAAAAGACAAGAAATTTTAAAAAACTACTAATAATTTATGCTAAAAAAGTGGGTTCGTGAATTCTTAGTCAATCGAAAACCCTTTTTAAGATAAGTACGCTCAATTAAATGTGAAGATATTAAAATCTAATTCAATAATCGCGTCCTAAGAAAACCTGTTATAATGGAACTACGCCTTTAGAAAAGGGAAAATATAAATCTTTTGTATGCTATAGGGAAAATATAATAGAATAGAAGCAAAGTTGATCAAGCAAGACGTGTTTCTCATTTTGCACGTAGGACGGTTTGGCAGATTTCTATAGTGTGAAAACGCATGCGAATAAACAAAACAACCCTTTAACTTTAGCTGGGGAGAGGATATCAATTTAGATCCTTCACAATATTTTATACTACATTCGATATTTAATATAAGCACTTGTTTGATTTTTATTTTGGTCTTAAATATGAAACCTTAATTCATTTTATCTCTCATATTTATCTATTATTTTCTAAGATATCATGATAATAATAACATTTCTAACCAATATATTTGATTAGTAAGGATTTTTAGGAAAAATAAGACCTATTTATTACAAATAGCTAACTTAATTAGTTTTCTTAATTTACTCAAATTAGTCAATTAGCTCTTATATTAATGATTTGAAGCACTGTATAACTAGTGGAATATTGGAATTGACTGTTTGTTTCTCTCTTTAATTCTAGGATTATTATTTTAATATCATACCATCCCAAATTTACTTACAAGACAAAAACTATAATTAAATTATTTTTTAACTTGTTTTTTAATAAGTAGGCGCAGAGGGGGTTTTATAGAAGATTTTAGGGCGAAGACAATTGAAAAAAGAAGAAGAAGAAGAAGAAGAAGAAGAAGAAGAAGAAGAAGAAAGAGGCAAGCCTGTGGAATTCACAGTTTATTTTATTTCCGTCGAAATATGAAAAATGTTTATATTGCGGAATCATGATTCGTGAGTTTTCCAACCAAAATATCAACCGAGAAAAGTAAGTCGGTGGGCCTCGCAAAATAGCAATAGTAAATTAAAGTAATACTAAATATTTATTTACGACATATTGATTGCATCTTACGTGTCGCTGTTTAAGAGGAGGTTTGCTCAACTGACATTGGCCAACGTTAATTTCCACAGTTGTGGCGCCTTCTCTTCTCAATTTGCAGGTATATTCTTGGGGACAAAGAATCTGTTTATCCTTTACCTCCTGTGTTTATCTCCTGCATCACGTCCCACGGTAACGCTCGTGTTCCTCACAGGTCACGTATTTAGATTTGCCCATTGCATCATAAATCTCACGGGGCTCCCAAAATCAAGCGGTTTCAGACGCTTTTATGGTAAAACCGATCACACGAGAACAGGTCGAAGGGCAGTGAGACTAAGGGGTACGGCAACGCCAGCTGTTCGTTTTTCCCCTAATAGGCCAATCGTGTCTCACGGGATGAGGCGTTCGAATTGACTTGGACTTTGAAACGGCGTCGTATGGATGAGCCGCTTTCTTTCTTTCTTCCTCCTGAGCTTTTTTAAACTTCACGGCAGGGATGGGGGAACGTGCTGAAAAGCTCGAAAGCTGAGAAACTAGAGCAGAAGGATGCGAGGAAGGAGAACCTCCTCTGAAGCACGTACATGCACCATGAAGACGTCGTGTTTCTTTTTTTGATATTGAAGGTTCAAAATCTTGCGGTTGATTTCTTCGGAACCACGAGCGAGGCGGCATTTATTTGCTAAAAGTGGTGAAAAGGAATTTTAGAGAGAAAGAGAGAGAGAGAGAGACGGAGAGCAAAGAGGGTTTTGATATGCAAGCGGATACTAGGGTTGGGGTAGTGGTCGAAAGGGGGAAAAGAGGTATCAATTCAAGTCAAGGAGGTGTTGCCGTTGGTGGCGGTGTGATGAAGTTGGCGCAGCAGCAACGTTCCGACATTGGGACTATTTCTCAGCTTCTTGCTGGGGGCGTTGCCGGTGCTCTTAGCAAGACCTGTACAGCGCCGCTTGCTCGACTGACCATACTCTTTCAGGTTGGCATTTTTCTTTCGTTTCTCTGCTTTTGGCTATTGCAGGCTGTCTTGGTTTATATTCCTTCAATTTGACTCTTCTGTGCGGTTTTTTCCCAGAAAATGTTCAAGTATAATCTATGCTGATACTGCTATTATTGCCCCCAAATGAATTGTGTTTTTTCGTGACATAAACATTTTTTTAATCATACGCATCTCTTGTTTCCGTGGGAGTAATGTCGGTTGGAGAATAATTTGGGTTTTTCGTGGGACTCTTCAACCACTCAGACATTCGGTTCAAGAGGAAGATTTAGGACCAGACGGAGGAAAGAGGGAGGGACCAACCAAAAAAAAAAAACTAGTAGTTTCATTAAGGAGGGGGAAAGCCTACAGTTAAAACTTGTTACATTTTCTCAGTTCTTCCTGATTTGACGTTAAGTTTATTTGCTTTGCTAAGAAAATGATTTCTGGAGGATAAATATTTATTGATGTGATCCGTATCTGGCTTCTTTCCTGTGTTCTTCAACAATGAGTTTATCTGGCTAATGTCTAGTATTTTCTGCTTTACTCATGCAACGTCTTCAGGTTCAAGGTATGCACTCCAATGCCGCGTCGTTGAGGAATGCCAGCATATGGAATGAGGCTTCACGAATTGTCAACGAAGAGGGATTTAGAGCTTTCTGGAAAGGAAATTTAGTTACTATTGCTCATCGTCTGCCTTATTCTTCTGTCAACTTTTATGCATATGAGCACTACAAGAAGGTTAATTTCTGATTTGGAGAAGTACCTTTTAAACATTCTTGCCCTCGGCTTACTTTACATAATGGTTATTTTCGTTTCTGCAGTTGCTAAAGACGGTTCCAGGACTGCAAAATAATGGGGACAGTATGAGTGCAGACCTTTGCATACATTTTGTAGGTGGTGGCCTAGCTGGAATAACTGCTGCCACTGCGACTTATCCTTTGGATCTTGTAAGGACGCGCTTAGCTGCTCAGGTAAGATCTAATGTCTAAGATTCTTGCTTTATTTATTCCTGATTTCTCTACTCTCAGTACCACCTCTTGCCATTCCTATGGTCTATAACATTTTATCAACTTAAATTGGGTTTAACCATGTGCCTGAGTTTCCTTCCCAGTTGATGTGATTTTGCCCCTTCTGACTAGAACTATTTGCATAATCAGTCTGTGTGGTGTTAGATGCTCAAAGCCTTGCATGAAATTAACTTTGACTTTTCTATTCTGAAATCTGAGCATCAAAGAAAATAATTGCTTAACCGCTTTTGTTGAACTGTCATGCAAAGTTAGTGAGGACTACCTTTGTTTTTGCAACTCAATTCTTTAATAAATTAATCAATTTGAGATTTTGCAGACAAAAGTTGTCTACTACAGAGGTATTTGGCATGCTTTACGAACTATTAGCAAGGAAGAGGGATTGTTTGGGCTTTATAAGGGACTTGGAGCTACACTGTTGGTATGCTGCTATTAACAGATTTTATATTTACTTAGAGTGGGACATTCCTGTCTTTTGTAATTTACAGAGGCTGTGGTTTAATGCAGGGTGTGGGGCCTAGTATAGCGATCAGCTTCTCTGTGTATGAAACCTTAAGATCATTTTGGCAGTCACATAGGTAAGAAATTATCAAATATCCTGCAATTTATCTTAAGAATTGACATGGAATTTGGTCCCTGAAAAATATAGGTCCTACCCACAGTCCATGGATTTATCCATCTGTACAAATTAGTTCCTAAGCTAGTTACTTGCTAGTTGCCACCTGTGTATATTATATTGACCCTCAAAGGAGGGTAAATATGATTTTGTCCAACAGAGGGACTAATTGCAACGAGCTAGAAACTTGGGACTAACTCATACGGAGGAATGAATTAAAAAACTAAATTGTTGGGAGGCATCTCTTTGAGGGATCTAATTGTGTATTAGTTCTTAATTTTGGCTTCTAATTTTGTCTTATGTATGCTTATCATAGTTTTAAATATGTTATCTTTGTATACCAGGCCCAGTGATTCAACTGTCCTTGTTAGTTTAGCATGTGGTAGTCTTTCAGGCATTGCATCATCAACAGGTGAGTGATATAAAGGGCTGCTATGTTTATGAGTTACAGTTCTGAGGTTCCTTTTCACTTAGACTTGATGGTTTTGCTGCTTCATCCTTGTTCAAGTTGCTCTTGCCATTGTCCTTACGGTCTTGTCTGTGCAGTTTTGTCCTTGCCATGCTTTTGATTACAGAGATTACTTAGAACTGCTGTGCCAATTGCTTATTATATGGGCAGTTACACTTAAGATTCCTTTAATTAAATTAAATTTCCTAAACCAAAGGATATTAAAGAAGCTAACATATGCAGTGGTTTATAATGGTCTTGATGCAGAGAAAGAGGGTTGGTGTGGTTTTTGCTCCCACTATCTAACCAGACTGACCCCAAGAAACAAGGCCGGAGTTGTTTGTCAGGCATAAGAGAATTTAGTAAGGAAGATAACAAAGGGCTCATTTTCCTATTTTCTGAAATCTTAATAATCTTCCTTAGCTTAACTCTGTGACATGTCTCCCCATGCTGTTCGGTAAATTCCATCTTAGGGTGGCATTACTTGGATGAACCTATATTCTGCCCTCAGTCATCAAATGTGAAGGCGTGAGAAGTGTCCTCTTTGAGGTATGCTTCTCACTGAGGTTTCCATCAACTAGTACCCTTTAAAACCCTGTGTTTCTGAGGTGTTCTCCTTTTATAATATTGAGTTGAGTATAATAATCATGGTAATTGTAATAGAATATTATATATGACAAATGGAAATATGATAAAATTGTCATTTTCAAATAATGTGTCAAAAACTGCCATTTCAATCTTTGTCGTGGGAAAAGAGCCATATCTATGATTGACACTTGGTGACATACTAGTGCGCTGAAACCGTATGTCATGGGCACCGACTATATGCATCTAAAATAGTGGCGTGTACGAAGTTCTCATAGCCACTTATCGATTGCGTCAATTTCTAGTACGTTTGTATGTTTTCTTTTGCCTTGCTTCTCTTTAAACTAATCTTACAAGTGATTCGATCGCCATTGTTCTAGCTTGCTAAAAATGCTTCCATTATAGAATTAAGTGTGTTTGGAAACCCATTGGTTTTGGTCAAAGTGTTTTGACCAAAGTATCGAAAGTTGTAAAAGCCCGTTTCTGACGAATTTTCAAATGTAGCCTAAGTTGCTCAACTCTGAAATATCAAATATAACTTCCTGGGCTTATTTAGGACATCTTGTCAAATATTCTGCTGTCTGTGACGGGGGATTGTGGTTCAAAAGGGTAGGGGGCATCATTAGAACAACAATCTCTTATTTCATAATTGCCTTGGTGGCTCATATGTTTCAAATATGGTTGACTTGATCTGCAATTTCTGTTTTTTGACGTGGTATTGTTTTGTTATTAAAGGTATGCATGTCCTTGATTCATCTATGAGTTGAAGTATTATCAAATATAGCGCTGTTAAAAAAAACAAAGAAATTGAGAGGAAATAATGCGTAAGAATAAAGATAAGCGAGTCTGCCACGTTTTTATTGTATGCGTCACTTTCCCTTGCTATTGCATATCACTCCTGTGGAGGAATCAGAGTTTGCATGTAAGAAACCATATCTTTGTATAAAGAAATCTCTGTGAATAAAATGTATTTGATGTTTTCATCTGAACCTATTGCAGCAACATTTCCCTTGGATCTTGTGAGGCGGCGGAAGCAATTGGAGGGGGCAGGCGGCCGGGCCCGCGTGTACACGACAGGCCTCCTTGGGATGTTTCGGCACATAATGCGGACAGAAGGCTTACGGGGCCTATACAGAGGAATCTTGCCTGAATATTACAAGGTTGTGCCTGGCGTAGGTATCTGTTTTATGACTTACGAGACACTTAAGACGCTTTTAGCTGATATTGCCACCACTTCATAGTCACAAAAGTTTTTAGACATTTATCCAAAGAAAAAGTGAGTTTATTAGAGCTATTGCCTATCTACGAAACACATTTTATCTCTTGGTAAAATGGTTTGCTGCTGCGGGAACCGGGTAATACATTTTTATCAATGTATAGAAACAATTTCCTTCATTGTATCTTGAATTTTATTACATACTTAATAGGAGTATTGGGCAGTTATCTACATCCAAACGAATCATTTTTGTATTACCATGTTCCATTCCACATCTTTCAGTAAGTTAATTGAGGTTGCATTTACTGTGGGATTCTTTGTAAGAATATTATATTATCAAAATTGAAGTCACAGGAAGCCCTGGTTCTAGTTTTTTGTACGGGTCAGCTTTTTTGTATTCTCTTTCAGCAAACATCCATCGATAGAAAGTTGGGAAACGCGCGCGCACACATCCTTGCGTGCGTGTTTGTGCGATGCTTAGCTAGGATGCAAGACGACTTCATAGAATCAAAATCTACCTACTATGAGTTTGCTGTTTTTCTCTCGAGTTATTCTTTTAAAATGCTATTTATTCCTATTTTGAAGTGTTTAACGTTGTGTATTGTATGAGATAGCAATGCTGTATATAAACAATGTTCCATAATATATTGATGATTTTTACTTTCATTGTACTAAAATATAAGAATTTGTTGATTAATTCACATATATTAAGAAAAATTAGTTAAAGTGGATTATTTATTAAAAATGTGTGAAATTTTTTTTCAAAAAAATATACGCTTTGTCGCGACCCACAGTTCTTACTGACAGATAAAGTAGATTGGGAATTTTCCTTTAATATTGTAAGAATAATTTCAATTAGCATTCACATCTAAAATAAGATGGAAAATTTTCCCCAAAAAAAAAGTGGAATTACAGATCTGATTTATTTTGGAACATTAAGAGTGAAATATATACCGTTAACGTTAATACGCATTATTTAGAGCTACAATAAACTTGCATATTTATTTAAGGATAATTGGGTCAAACCAAAAATCAACTTAAAATACACTCCCCCACTTTGTTTTAGGGAAAATTAATATCCCATGGATTTAAAAAAAAAAAAAAGGTAAACACAGTAATTTTAAACTAGAAAAGAGATTTATGTAATTTAAAGGGCGCACTTGAAGTGTTGGCCAGACAAAAAGGAGCATATTCGACATGAGAAACTGAACACAACGGGAATTAAAGACCAAAATTTCATAACGGAAGGCTGAAAATAGAAAGGGACGGATGCAGGATACATTGGAAAGAAACGTTTCGAAATGAATCGCCAAAATTCTCTGAGAGAACAATTCAAAGACTCCAACATGAAATACTTTTTATTTTTGTTATTAGTATACTCCAACTTGGCACACCCTCAGTACCCCCAAGAAATAGGAGGGGGGAAGCTCTCCCAGCTTCTGTCTTCGACCTTGAACTAATTCAAGGCCATCCATATCAATCCCAACGTTCTCAGTATAAATCCGAATCAAGGAAAAATGGGGAGACGAGAAAGGAAGAGAATTAAAGTTTCCATTGAAATCAAGCTTGATAGAAACAATTAAGTTAACAATTCTCTTGCCTTTCTTTTTCTTCCATTTTCCCTCAATCCAATCGTTTTAAACGATACCATATTTGCGTTATTACAGTGGGAAATTACCAGTCCAACGAATATGTTCAAGAGTACTACGTAAACCATATTTGTTCACTGCCTCATTAGCAGCTCTAAAGCCACCCCCATATGCTGGGGAAGAATCATTGGCAATCTGATTCATGAAAAACTGACCCAGTTTATTTTCAACTTCAGATTTAGTTCCTTTCTTAGATGATGAGGAGTAGTAGGAAGATGAGGAAGAAGAAGCTCCTGAAGTTGAAGGCATGCTTTTAAGGCCAGGCATCACTTCTGACTCAAGCCACATATAAGAAAGAACCTGACAGATTCCTTCCTCTACTTCAGGATTAAGATTACGGTACCCTGCTTAACTCAACATGAATAAGGATAATATTTAGGGTACCGTAAACCTGAATACCAAGAAAGAGTGAAGATGGACATTGTTCATACCTTTAAGGCGTAACCAGCCATGCATCAGCTCGTGGGCAAGGATAGCGCCTGTGAGTAACCTGAATCCCCCAAAAGTATTAAAACAAAGGGATGAATGAAAAGCAGAGCCACAGTTAAAGATTTTAAACAGATAAATCTGCTAAAATCTATCTTAAGCACTACTCATGCTGTTTCTAATCAAGTTCGATCATCATCACTACCGCCAAATTGTCTGTTAGGTTCTGCTTGTCTGAGACATGTCCGGGCTTCTCGCTCAATAATGCATCACCAGAAAGATATCCGGACAGGATTTCAATTTAAATTAAGTACTTATAATGTAACAAAATATTAACACATCCAACAAAGATATAGCCGAAAGCTTTGAAATATAAACACGTAATTGTGTGTTTGTTTTCAGGAAAAAATATCGTGGAATGTGATGCAGCATATCTTCTACTACCTCCGGTCCTAATTATAAGAGCCAGTTGACTAATTTGAGGAGATTAAGGAAGTAAGTTGAGTTAGTTATTTGTTCTAAATAGGTGTTGTCTTTCCTAAAATATCCTTGCTAATCAAGTGTATTGACTAGAACTCTTATTATTAGAAGGGTTACTTTGGAAAAAAATATATAAATATAAGAGACAAAGTGGATTGGGATCTTATATTTAGGATCAAAATAAAAGTCAAACAGAGTCTTATATTAAGGACCGGAGGTAGTATATTACAATGAGAGCAACCTTTTGGACTTACAACCCACCCTGTTAATTTTTAGGAGACCTACAAGTAATTTATGCCACTTTAAGTCCGTTCAACCTTCTATTACGAGAGCTTTTACATTCCAAACCCCAAATGCATAGATTCACAATACAGTAATTTAAAGGGAATTGCTCTCATTCAGCAAGAAGAAAAGGTAAAGCTCTGATGTATATTACCTGGGAAGACCATAGAGAACAAGAATGGCTGTAACTTCACATTTTCTAGATAGTTTTTGAGGTTGGGTTCTCATGCCCATTAGCCTATGGCCTCCAATTCCTGGTCTTCGATGAACCTAAACCAGCATAAAAATTAGTGAATTTAGTACAACTCCCTGATAGGTAATTTGTAACCTAGCTCATTAAGGCTATTAGATCGCATATAAGAAATCAGAAGTGGAAATTTTGAAATCATACACTGGTGACAGTCAGCTCTTCAGAAAGGCACAAGCCTCTTGTCTCTGGCATATGATGGTAACCCTGGAAGAAGCAAATTCAGAGTAAGAGAAATGCAACCTTTAACGTGACTAGATCAAAGAACGGATTGTTCCTTACATTTGTATCCCCAACAATAGCTTCATTGAGTGCTTGCCTCTCAACCAGAAGCATAGGAATTTGTTGGTCTATTTTCATATTCATTCCTTCATAATAATCTCTAATAGCATGGTAAAGAGGTTGACAATCTCCGGTGTCCATAATAGCTGACTCCATGCACTCTAAACATAAACTCCGTCCATCTTCCAAACTATAGTATTTCGTATTCAAAGACTTCCAAGATTAAAGTAACAGAAGATAGTTGTTAGAAATTTCTCCTTCCTTCTTTTGAAGAACTACTACTAATAATAATGATAATATATTATACGACACCAGTTTGATTAGTACCTCCAATCTTTCACAACTACAGCAGCGAGCCGTATCATCATATTCATGAGCTGGACAATATTTTTGGGACCAAAAAGGATGACACCTATACTCAATCAAACCAGCAGCATTTATAGGAATCTGAAAGTGAAACAACAGAGACAGGTGTGAATTTAGCCTATCTTTTACACAAATATAAGAACAATTGTTGGACAACTCTTTGATCAGAGTGTGTACTATCATTAACTTGATTGCCTTGATCAAGAGTGTGTACTATCATTATGCCGTGAACTTGTACAGAAAAGGAAAATAATTTTACAAAAAGCAGTGCAATATGAATCAGTGAAAGGCAGACTAATCTTACAAATCGGTAGCAAACTTCACATTTTGGGTGGGTCAACTCTTTGAAACAGGACTTGTGATATGGATGCTTCCCTGATAAAGAAAACTTGTATAAAAAGGAAAGAAAAAGATGCGGTAAGTGACAGAGAAAAATAGAAGCATCATAATTGTGAATGTGAGAAACGAAGAGAGTACTATATGCAATGTGTAAATGCTTGTTGAAAGGCTGAAAGATGACTCCAACAGTCTGCGAGAGTATCAAATTACCTCATGCTCAGTAATGGGGTAGCGACAAGAGTGACAACGAAAGCACCCTGGATGGAAAAAAGTATTATTGCACTTTAAACAATTCCCATGGGCTATCTCCCGCTTGCACCCACCACATGTCCTGCATATTAAAGTCAATGCACATGATTAATTTTAAAATTTACCAAAATCTCTGTTCTTTCCCGTGCTTGGATATAATGATAGATAGGCAGATAGTGAATACTGATGATTAGGATGCATGGCTTTGATTTCTGTTTTCACCTTTCAAAGGCATCAGGTAATTTAGAGAAGCAGGTGGTAACTGTATATGACAGCACACACTGGCTGATCTTTCTTTTCATTTCTTGAACTTTAGTTTGGCATGCACATCATGAAATATGCAATTTAGAACAGCAAAGACAGTACCTAATTTCCCCACATGTTGCACGGGTATAAGGAGGATGTGCAGAGGAGTTCTGGTTATCCTGAAATTCACCCGCATAATCTTCGTCGAAGTTTCCATGGCATCTATATCCTTGGCGAGCTAATGAAAAGTAATGTTTAATCCCGGATCAAAGGATCATTATTGAGAGAAAGAAAGCAAGAATTTTGAAAATTAAACAACTACCATTTGGTCTCTTCAAATCTTCAGCTAACGATAGTGCAATTGCACGGTCCAGATCCTCTTTGTCCTTCTGAGCTCTAGAACGGTCATCCTGAGAAGAATTATTCAGGATGCTGTATTTAGTTACTTACCAATCAAACTTGCAAAACAGTAAAAGAAACAATGCAACATGGCCCATTGCATGTACAATAATGATCTTCTTCATTTTGTTCACTAACTTGGTGCGGAAGAACCAATGGACCTGAATATTTGATAACACCCTTGCTCATCCACAGCGAGGAGGTATTTGAAGATCATGTTGAATAGTTCAAAGAAGAAAGATATTCCATTTGATGTTGTCACCATAATAACTTGTCTGTTTTCAAACGGGAAATGGCTGGATAACTAGGAAAAGCTTTTTCCCGTACAAATAACTTAATGAGTCTAATGACATATGCTTCAAAATATATTCCAAGAATGCCATTATCATTAGTTACTACGCAGTGCAATGGAATGTAATGTCAGTTGAATGAAATTCATCTCAAACATTGGGCAAGATCTCAGGCTTAATATACAGCAAAACTGCCCCAGTTTCAAAGTGGGATGATGATTAAAATTTGTCAACCAAGATTTATATTGCTGACAACACTTTTAAGTACTTAGTCATCTTGCGATTGAAAATGAAATTATTCTGTTGGCTAAATGAACATCAGATTGAGAGAATTACGTCACGAGTTAGCAGTAAGAGAAGAAAACATCAGATTTTTTATGAAACTATCAAACATAAAAGGGAATGTATAATGTGAAGCTAGTTACCATAGTGGAACAGAACTTTTAGGTATGATAGACGTGGGAAATCAAGCACGCTGTGAACAGTAATCAATTGCCACTTAGAAGGAAATCTGTTAGTTACGATGTGTTGATAGAAATCAGGTACGTCATTGAGTTATGAGCTGTAGGAAATCTGTTAGTTATGATGTGTTCATAGAAATCAGGTACGTTATTGAGTTATAAGCTGTGGTCTGAGCACCCAATTAATCCACACCTAGATTCCTCAATTGACTTTTTACGAAGCAAAGTAAAAAGGGTGATGTAATGAATCAAACCGGAGAAAAAGTCAACTTTCTAGTGCTCATGATATTTTTGTTCGGTGACATATGGAATTAACATAGGTTTGGCTTAGAAGTAGCACCACATAATGCTGATTGTATCATTATTTATGTCTTATTTAATTCAAGTAAAGCAATGATGTAATCCATAACAAGGACAACAAAAGCAGAAGTCAGAGCTTATGTTTACCAAAGATCTAGATGGATTGCGCCAGACCAAATTTTCCTCTGTAGGCTGCTGGAGATGACGACCTCCCCTTCCTCGACTGGACCCACCTTTGAAAAGCTTACTAAACCATTTCATAAATCCAGACTTCCTCTCGGAGTATGAGGAAGCAAAATCCCCTGCTTCCCATCGAATTTTCGAGACAAGACGCAACAGAAGGAAAGAAGTTAATCAAGACAGGAATAGAATTTCCAATATCAGCACAGTAAAATTGATTAAATAAAAGGACTTTGAACTTCAAACTGAAGTTTCAGGAGCTAGCTCATTTCCAATGAGCAAAAGCTATAAGGGTCATTACAGCATGAACAGTAAACAACACGAAACTCCAATTTGGACGAGGAATACAGAGACAGAAGGAAGAACGGAGAAGATACCATATATACAAGGGTGAGAGAGATGATTGACTTCTGAAGGAGCCATAACGGCGGCGGAAATATGATGTATAGAATTGGCGAAATGGGAGATCCGAGGGAAAGCAAAAGGAAAGACGAAAACCGAAAATGACAGAGAGAGAGAGAGGAGGAGATGCAAAACAAGAGGAATTAGACATCGTTAATAGTAGCCGAAAAAGGAAGAGAAAAATAGGGAGGGGGGGAGAGAGAGGAGAGGAATCTGAGAGGAAGTGGTAGAGAGAGAGATTCTTGGCTTGGAAAGCAATGAAGAGAAAGTAGGGAAGGGCAGAAAGATGGGGTTCTGGGGAATCTGCTGAAGCGGAGAATATCAGGTAACTGTGGATTGCCGCGAATCGAAGATGGATTTAGAGAGAGAAACAAAAGAAAAGAAAGAAGAAAAAAACCACCCAAAAAAGTGCTGCGTTTGCACGCATGGAAGATGAAGCAAGCAGCCCAATATGTACATTTTTCTCTTTCTTGCTTTTTCTGGATAGAACCCTGAAGGAATTTCGCCTGTTAAAATAACAGAACAAGTTTGCTTCATCAAGGGCCGCTTCTCTCAGGAAGCGACGCCAACCATTTCCAATTTCTGACATTTTTCTTCTAAGCTGCTCGCTCGATCAGCTTCAGTTAATTACTCATGCATGCGCTGCTATAAATTCCTCTTCACTTGTCACTCAGAGGTCAGAACTTCTATCCTTCTGGCCTTGATAAGAAACCTCAGTTAATTTTTTTTTCTTGATTATTAGAAACATTATTAGGCTTAAAGAAATTGAGATCGTGGACAAATGCAGAAAGAAAAACGGAAAATATGCTCAAAATAGTGCTCGAAAGGAATCGTTTTATACATCAGGCCGATGGCCCACGTTTTTGAGCAAACCAACTTATAGTCATCACATATAAATGATATTCCCTCCCCTTCTTAGTATTAACCCATTTTTAATTACAAGATCTCGTTTATAAACTATAAATAAGATTTTACAATTTAGTATTAAAAACTATTAATGAATTAATTTGAATAAATTTTGACAAATGAAATAAGTTTTGAAAAAATTAATGAATACATAAAATACATTTGAATTAAAATTTTATATTTATGATAAAATTTAAATTCCTAATTAGTTTCCGTTATAGAAACAAGAGGGAGTAGCATTCGGTGCCCGTGCCTATATAACACAGTGATATGTGTGGGGATAAATGGCATTTGTTTCCCTTCCAATTCCATATAGAAAAAATTTAGGATATATGAGTTCGTATAGCTTTAAGTAATTCAAACTCATTATATCAATGTTGATATGGGTTGTAGATGATTATTACCACTTTGCTGACGAGAATCAAATATCACCGTCATAACTTGATAGATAAGTGAGTTTAAAAATACAAGGGAATCACACTTATAAATCAATAATATACCGAAACTTTGGTAGCTGAAACCACGTTTTGGCAGATGGCATGCTCCTTGTGCAAAACATGGTTTTCTAACATTATCATGCATAAACTAGCTTGTTTGGTACGTTTCTGTTGCAAATTGGTTTCTCCAACTGTAAAATAAATGCTATTTTCATATTACTTTGGTCAAAATCATGTTTTCATTAAGATCAATAATAAGTTAATGGCTAGTTTTTTCACCAGATTTGGATGAGGTTTTAGGTTCAAATCAGCGTTGACATGTTTGTATGCCTTAGTGTGTTTAATTTTATTAAATAAAAAAAGAATAAGATCGATAAATAATAGGTTTCCGACACATTAAAATTCCATGGAAAAAAAAAGGGGAATTGAAGAAAGTATGTATAGATATGAATTGAAAGTCAAGTCACTCTTTCTTATAGTATTCCTTGGATGATCGAGGATTACTCGTACAACGTATGGTCAATATCAACATATCTGCTTCTTCCACCCGTAGCTTTTTCGTCAAGCTCTTGTGTTGTTTTTGGATATGAGGTTACCATAATTCATTTATCGTATTATCCCTTTACCTGATGATTATCAAATCAATAGCTGTGACGCTGCATGTTCTCGTTATGATTTTCATTCATTATTTCTCGATTTAAAAAAACAGTTTTTTCCTCATGTATCATTCTTAACCACAAAAATAGTCTTTACTATTTTTAATAATAATAGTAATAATAAATAATATATATCATCAATATTGAGGATGCCCTCAACAGTTTCCTTATTAAGGAAACCACAATATTTCGTTTTCATAAATTCCATATTATTCCTAGGTTGCATATATCGATCGTTATCCTGTTATTCCATTCCACCGATCAAAACCCCTTTTGTTTTATTTTCATTCGTGTCTTCCATTTGACATGACAATCCAGAAACCCAAAAAAGCTCTTTTCATCATACACAACTCTCCCCCCCCCCCCCCACACACACACACACAAGGAATCATCTTCATCTTTTTGTTGTTGTAATATTGCTAAAAAGGTAAGCTGGTGAAGCAAAATCACAGATATGTGGAACTCTCCCTAACTGATAAAGGTGTTTCTGTAACATATATGCACATGAAAGAACTTGACAGGACCTAAAAGAAATGGGAAAGAGAGAACACACATATATATAACTATTACTGAATTTTATTACGTAAAGTGTATCATTGGTGTCTTTTGTTATTCATTTTCCAAAGTTTTGGAAAAAGAATATATTGGCAGGGTAGTTATAACGATATTTTAATATTTGCTTGAAAAGGCTAGCCAATCGTCTGCTAGTTTGATCTGGTATACAAGTTGCGACAGCAGTGCAGATAAAGAGAAAGGAAAAAGAAAAAAAAACAAAAGGGGTTTCTCAGATCTCAATCTCTCCCACTAGAAAGGTGATCATCATTGTATATTTTGTGTAGAAGAGAGGCACTGAAAGCTAGGAGCTTCAAAAGCAGAGAGAGAGAGAGTAAAGAAAAAGCATTTTACAACCATGCCATCTTTTTTTTCCTGGTTGGACATGGACGTTGCTTTTGATTATCATATTCATTCACCATACAATTAGGGCACCCTCTTACCCTATAAACAAGGTGTTACATAGCCGTAAAGTTGGGACCAGTTGCATATATATTTCCCTTTATAAGATAAAAGATGCCGGTTTCTCCAACTGTTAATTCAAGTCGCATACGAAAGCCCCCTTGACTTTATTATATTCTGCAAATGAATCAAGCACTGAGAAACATTAAAACTTGAGTTGACTGGTGTTTCATGTGTGTGGCTCACGTACAAAGTTTTGTCGAACACAATACTTCAAACACGTATTTGATCGTGATAATAGCACAAAGTGGATGAAGGATCAAATTAAAATTCGTCTCAGATCACCCATCAGATTGAATCCTTTAAGACCATCCAAAGTTTTCCTTAGTCATGTTCTGAAAGGTGTACGTAGATGAAATTTGGTCTAATAACAAACACTACTCATTCTTCTTAAGGTTATGATCATTTCTTGTAACCGTGTTAATTAATACTTCTCCGATCCTAAATATAAGACCCATTTCGTAGTGTAATTTACACTACAAAATAGGTCTTATATTTAAGATCGGAGGAGTATATTTTTAAGGTTTTAGAAAGAACAAACAGCTCATATGTTGTCCTTAATCATAATAGGAAAATAAATAAGACATTAGGATTATGTTTTTAGTTATGTGTAGCTTTAATTTGAAAAAGTACCGCACTGTTTCATGAGGATAAAGTGGACACATGTTTATGATCTCTAAAGTGGATATATCTGTTATCTTTAAACAGAGGGTTAAGTGCCTATAAATTAGGGGTATGCCCTAAAGTTGTGAGGCAAAACAGCAATGACAAGTGCTTTTAAAATTAAAGCAGCCTTCAGCTTTGTTCCAGTAGGTGGCCAGGAAAAAAAAAAATGCAGATCATCTTCAAAAACAAAGAATCGAAGAACAAAAGCCCTAAAACTGTTTAATCCCATATCTGTACGTCATTCACATATTCTATATGACTATAAAGGCTCAGTTTCTGAGTCAGACCACATGTCAAGAGAACCTCATAAGTCATAAGATACCTTCCTGTGCCTAATTTATTTAGACAGTGGCAGCATCTCAAAACCTCAACGCGAATCTAGTTGCCATATATAGGTCATCGAAATTCGATCAATCTATATCTTTGTCCTTTTTCTTTTTCTAGGTCATTTATTCGTTTATGTATATTATATATTAATTAATTAAATGAATATCAGGGAATTGTGTTCTGCAAGATTGCTTTCACTTGACAGCCAAAGAATCGGGAGTCGTTGAAAATGCTATTATATATTATATATAAATATAAAAGATGATGTTTTTATTTTCAATCACCCATTGCTCATTGAGTACTTTCAAACTCCATAAAGTTACATTTGTTCTGTTGTGTCTATATCTATTATATGCAATGTTCCAGCTTCTTCTTCTTCTTCTTCTTTAACTCCCTACAATTTTATACAACAAAAACATATGGGCATCATTAATATGCTTATATATATATATATATATATCAATTTGCTATATGTCACTGTACCAAAGATATGAATGCTACTAGTGCAAAATATATGTTTAGCGAGTTTCATAAAGATATTGAGAGAGAGGCTGTCAACATGGGAAGGCATTAATTCAAAATTCAAAACATCGCTAATAAGAGCTAATAAAGATTATTTTTGTATTAATACCATATGAGTACAAATTCAAAGAAAGAGCTCAATCTTAAAAGAATAATAGGAAAAGCCTCTTAAACTTATGAACCACACCACACTTGTTGCTCATGACAGTCTCTTATTAAACACACAACATATATATATTAATGAAAAATATAATCCTCTCCAAATTCTTATAGTCTACATTAATTTGAATTACCTAAGTCCCTCTAATTTGCTTTGTTTGAATTGATTCCTCACACTTCATTTGGCAATTGACTATACGTACACGCATGGATTAGAAACACAGAAGATGAATATAATACTTCTTGTTCCTAATATAAGAGTTGATTGAGAAATTGAGTTTAGTCCTAAGCATAATATTTTTATATATTTTATCCCTCGTACTTATTGTTTTTTAATTAACTATTTCTGTTAATTACACAAGTTAAAAAAATTTGCAGTAAGGGGTAGTTTTGATGCAAATGTTTTTAAGAATGTATTTTAAAGAAATCAACACATATTTTTAACAAATAATAACTAATTTAATTGGTTTTATTAATCTATTCAAAACAAATTGAGTAGATCTCATGTTAATGATAGAAGATAATAGTTGGAAGGAGTGGCATATTAAAATGAAGCAATCGTGACAACATGCATGTGGTGAGTTAACCCTGTGAAATGAGCAGATGGAGGGAAGAGAAATGATCACGTGGATGCAAGCAGATTTTAAATTTCCAAGGACACCAATATTGGTCTTTTGATGTTGCCGAGGAGACTTTCAAGGGACCAAAAAGATATGATGGAATGCTTAAACTGGACCACCCATTTTTATAACACCAAAATTCTGGTTTGATTCTCCGAGAATATTATGTGTTCGGATGGGAGATAATTGAGGGGAAAGTGAAACACGAGCCGGGTAAAAAATCTATTCTTTCTTTCGAGAGGACAGGATATAATTCAGGATTTTTTTAATCACTCCTCTTTAATCCTTTTTCTTCTACATATTTCCTTAGTTTTCCTACTATCCTGAAAGTTTAACGGGAAAGGAATCCAAAGCAAATAAGATAAAGGAGAAAAGAACAATGAAATTATAGTGCTTTTTTTAATTTAAAAAAAAAGTCAATATTTATACCTACCTACGCATGATCTTTTATGTATATATGGTACTAGCTAAACCATAAGATTTAGTAATATTATTATACTACCTCCGGTCTTTAATATAAGACCTTGTTTGACTTTTATTTTGGTTCTAAATATATGACCCCAATTCACTTTGTCTCTCATATTTAAACATTTTTTCCAATATAATCTTTCGAACAATAGTAATTTTAACCAATATACTTGATTAGCAAGGGTATTTTAGGAAAGACAGTACCTATTTATTACAAATAACTATCTTAACTTATTTCTTAATCTCCTGAAATTAGTCAACTAGTTCTTATAATTAAGATGGGAGGTAGTATTGTTTATGGCTTATAAATAATATAAAATTATGGTAAATTTATAATCTATATATTGATATATGGAGCAAAGCAAACAATATTATTCATTTATTATTTTTTTTATATATGCAAAAAACTAAACACGTCTAATTCTTCTTTTAAATCTCCTTTGTGATCGCTTCAAAATTCTCAAAGCTTCTCTCTCTTCTTCCCCATCTCTCCTTATTATACCATGGAGGGGACTTCTTCACTTCCCTTATCCTTCCATCCATTATCTCGTATCCAAATATATTCTATATTTTTGGCCAAAAATGACATATTCTTGACTTGTTTATTTGAAATTTTTGGACGAAATAGTTACTCCAAACTGTCTCTTGACCACTCTTTCTTTTATCTTATCTATTGCTTCTTTTTGTTAATCCCTTCTCCTTTGGAAACGCACCTTTTGCTTGGAGTTTATAAGAAAAAAAATGAAATTTGAAAATAAATTATTAGTAAAACAATAATTTTCTTTTTAAAAAAAAAACACTAGCACAAAAACAATATTTTTACAGTGGTTAAAAAGATTTCTTATGCCATTTTTTTTTATGAAAAGACGTTTTATGCCATTATAAGATCAGTGTAGAAAGTCTAAAATCGCTGTACAATTGCCGTAGAAAATTGAATAAAAAAACTAAAAAGAATATTTTTTTTTCACTTTATCGACCGATTGTGGGCATAACGAATCTAATATCAGTTAATATGCGCAAACGCTGTAAAAAGCTTTTTTTGTTGTAATAATCTACTTTTTTTTTTCTAACCACCCTATTAATTACATTGAAAACTTATAGAAACAATAATAAAAATAAGTAGCCAATCAACAATTATGATACAAAAGAGTTGGCAAAAGAAGTTATGACTTATACAAAAGAAGCAACAATAATTCTCAATTCCAATCCCATCTATCATTATCATCATTATCATTTATCAATGTAAGTTTCTATTACAAGTCATTGTTCTAAGGTTCTAACAGACTAAACTAATGTCAATTTTAATACAAGTCATTATTCCAAGGTTTTTTTTTTACACCAAAATTATTCCAAGGTTAAACGATTAAAACCAGCAAGATTCTTTTGAAAAAATGAAGTCCTAGTCTTTAGTCTTTACCTATTTTCTGTGGATTCACTGTACTCTGACCCTCTCAGCAACAAGAGAGGGGTTCGATTTCCCATTACAATACTTGGAGAGACATCTTAAATCTAAGAATATCTAGGTAAATGCTTAAAAATCTGTTGTAAGTTTGTCAAACCCAGCATGGTATGACCTAAAAGGAGCTAAATTAAGTGCTTTATCTTTGATTTGAGTTGAGCTCCAACCCTTACCTAAATTTTTTGTACAAAAAATAATAATACTCTTTAAATATATCTATATAATTAATTGCCTCTTGAGAAAATTCTCCCCTTTATTTTCATGCCTCTTTATGTTGATTTTCAACTAAAGCCAATAATTCAGGCCGACCCATTTTATCAGATTTTTCAGAGGAATGAGCTCATAAAGCAGGGAAATAATTATATAAGGAAAAGGACTCTGGGGCTCGGGTTTAAAAGCCCCAGAAAAACAGGTCGAGCTTCGGTCAGCGGTAATCCTAAAATCCAGTTATGGGCGTTGGGCATATTTATAATTAATACTCTCTTTTTTTCATTTTGATATATATATATATATATTAATCTTAACAACACTCCCCCTCTTTTTTTAAGTAAAATTTCATCTTTGAAGAATTTTTTATTTATATTTAATTTTCATTTAAAATTCATGATGATATTAATTATGATTTTCCATTATAGTATAGCCTTATTTTCACAAACTCAAATTAATTAGTATGAGAGATGATCGTAGAGAAAATAAATAAAAATAAATCAATAACATATTACAGAATTTAAAAGAAATCCTAGCGTACTATATATAGACATTACACACGCGTGTCTTGATATGTGCGTTACAAGCACTTGAAATTGACAAGGGAGATCATTTGGAAAACAACACATATATAGAAATCAAGAAACTAAAATGAATACTTATCTACGTAAATTGACAGGGGATATTTAGTAATTTTAGTGTCAGGAGATAATCTAACGATCTAACTACGATAAAAACCCATATTAAATTGGTTTCGAAGAGAAACATGTATTTAAAAAAAAAAAAACTAGAGAATATGTTTTTTGTTGTTGCTAACCACACTATCATTCTATTAGAGATAATTCAGTTTGAGATATTAGTGAACACTTCTTCTAGTGAGGATTCAAACCTTAGTTCCTTATATCGTGAGGGACTAGTGTCTTTCGCTAGACCCAACTTTCCAGTTTTTTTTTTTATGAGCAGGGATATTCTCCATTAGATGTAATCATGTTCAAGACATTATCAAACATTAAATGTGGGCACATCTTTCAGTAGAGATTTTTTTTTTTGCTAAAGCATAGATATTCTTCTACTGAAGGTAATCCTATTCGAGGCACTGTCCGGTACTAAATGTGGACACCTCTCCCAGCAGGGATTCAAACCTTGATTCGTTACGTTATGAGGGACTAGCTCCTTCTACTATATCCAATCCCTGTTGATTTTCAGTAGAGATTTAAATTTTAGTTCACCATGCTGTAAAAAATTAGCTTTTTATGCTAAATCCAACCCCATTGGTAATTGCCCACTTTAAGACAATAAGCCCCGAACTCTGTTTTTGATTTTTTGTCATTACTTAGGTGGCTACGAGGCTGTCGCAAAAATTAGGCTATAGGAAAGCCCAACCCAGTAACTACCTAGCGGACTGTAAAGCCCCATTGAGTTTGAGGATGGATTGTGCTTTGCTAGGGAGAATGTCAGCATTTGAAATTGTACCAAAAAAACTTAATTTGAAATTAGGGTAAGAAAATTCTAAAACTACAATGCAGGATTATGGCACTAAATTGAAGTTATGTTATAATGCTCAATGCGCAAATTGCTCGTTAATATTGTTGGGAAAATAATGCTCTTTAATATACAAATTTCAACAAGTATTATTAGCAGACAAATATGATGGCAAAAAAGAAAGAACGAAAGAAAAATAATAAAAAGAGTACAAATGCATTGGTGTCTCCTCTCTTTTATATGTCTAAAACTTATATCAATATCTTCTAAAACTAATAGTCACAAAATGCAAACATTTTTCCGGTCCAAAAAAATGCAAACATTTAATCCTATCTAAGCATAGGTGTTATTTAAAATCTTTTAAATTAAAGAGGGAGTAAACAATTAAGTTATGAGGAAAATTTTATAATTTTAAGTTTCACAACACAATTATAGATAAAAAATTAAGTATTTTATAATATTTAACAATACAAGCGTTCATTTTCCTTTTTCCTTCTTTAATAAATTAAATAATAAACATAATGTATTTCTTGCCGGCCTACATAGGGTACGCATAATTTATTATATCTAAAATTCTAAACTAATAAATTGCAGGTCTGTACTTGACTCACTGTCTGCGGTTAATTACATTTAAAAAAATTCCCAAATCATGTTATAAGGCTTAGCCACTTTTGTTATGGGAGCATGACCTTTTTTTTTCCCCTTAACACAGATTTTACATCTAGAAAATGTGCCTAAAATCATATATGGATAAATATATTATTTTAATTTTTTTTGGTTAATGAGTAAATATAAGATAACCCTTTTAATAAAATTTGTGGCCAATTGATATTTTCACATGCTTGAATTTCCTTCTTTATTACTTTTTCATAATGATGTCCAAATTAAAAGTTAAGCTTTTGTGGCCTTGAAATCTTTAGTGCAATTGAAGAAGTGCCACAGAAGAAAGCCAACAATTTCTCCCACCACACACACGCAAACCATGATTAGCTGCATATTCATCTCTGAAAAAGGAATTTACTGAAAAGAATAACTAAGTAACTGCACATGTTATTATTTGAAGTTTCAAAATTCTTACTGAAGGGAAAGTTAATATGCACACTCGTTCTGAGCTGAGTTCCCGGATCCTTGACATCATATAAAGGCGCTCACTTTCGTTTCTCTGCGTTTAAATTTTTTTCCTTCTTCGCCAACCTTTATAGGGTTTCCAAACCCAATTTGAAAAATTGATTTACATTTTCCGTCACTTCACCCCAAAAGATTTTTACCAAAGTCGTCACTAAAGAATCCTTTTGCTGTATTTATGCGGCAAAATTCGGATATGGTAATGGTGGTTTCGGAAGCCTAGTTGAAGTGAGATTGTGAAAAAGTGGGTGGTAGAATTTGGGATCCGTCAATGACGTTGTTGGCAGCCTGTGGAGGTGATACAGTGAAGTTGTTCGATGCCTCGGTCAAGCCCGGTGATCCTTGCTCATTGAGCTATACCCCTTCTCCTGGATTCCAAGTCAATTCAGTGAAGTGGAACCATACCAGTGAGTCAATCTGTGATCTCTTTCCTTTACGCTGCATACAAATTTTTAATTTTTTTTTTTCCCCCTAGAAGGGTTTACGTTTGTGGAATATTGTTTTCTTATAAATGTTTTAGAATTGTTTCTCTGTACTGTTTTCTTTCGGTCGCGGGCGGATTGAGCGCAATTGAACTAAACAATGGTGTTGATTTGTTTGATGCATTTGATTTTGTGGTTCCTAAATTGCGGTAGAAATAATTTAAGCTGTTTGATTATATGCACTGGCTTACGGAACAAGTTTTATTGTCTGAACTGAGCCTTTTGTTTACAGATTTGGTTGTGGCCAGTGCTGGAGATGATAAGAAGATCTCGCTGTGGCATAAAAATGGGCAGAGCATGGGTACCATTCCTGACAGTGGAGACAACATAGAGGTAATATCTACTGTTTGGTAGACTAGGCTGTACCCGATCATGCCCGCATTAAAATGAATTCTGCAAGTACATTTACAAAAAAGGAACCGCGCATCAGAAGAGTAAAGGTTTAGAGAAATAATAAAGCATCTAAGTCACACGATGCTTGTTATGTTTCATGGTTATGAACCTTGTCATTCTTTATCTGAAACTGTCAACACCTAGTGCTGAGAAAAATTATGTTGTGAAGTACTCTCTTCCGTCACTTCTCCCCCAAAAGGTGCAGGAAAATGGCTTAATTATATCTTTGGTGTCATTTTAGTTTAGCTTTCTCTGATGAGTAACACTGGAAAATTGTAAGAATGAAAACATAAAATAATTTGCTTTAATTGTCTTCCATTCCCGCACATATTTTCAGCAACTCATGCTTGGAAGTTATGGGGGCAGGAATTCCAATCCGTACAATCACCAATGTCCAGACTCTATATCATACAATTATTGTATGTGGAATTTGAAATGACTTTTCATAGAATCTTCTACAACCTTTAGTTCTAGCAACAGGCTTTAACATTGGAGAATAGAATTTATGCACAAGGGGAAGTACTATTCTTTCAAGGTTGGCTGTCAGGTTTTTTCAGAAGAAGCAAATAAGGCAGGAAGCATATCTGTATAATACTGATGTGCCTTCTTTAGTGTAGTTTGTTCCCACTTTTATGAGCTACGAGGCAAAGTGGCATCATTCAAGGTTCCATCCAGCTTTATATTGCATTTAAAATTATTTATCCGCATTATCAAGCCCTTTGTAATCATCTATTGATCCACTGCAATTATATGATCACTATGTGGTGTCATTGGTCCTGAAAGTTACTCAAGTACTGCATAATCAAGCAATATTTTGTTATTTTGGGGGTTTAATTCATGCAATTTTGTAATTTGTGCAGGAGTCTATAATGGCTATCAGCTTCAGTAACAAGGCTTCCAGATATCTATGCTCTGGAGGAAGTGGTCAAGTTGTACGGATATGGGATTTGCAAAGAAAGCGCTGTATTAAATGGTTGAGAGGTCATACTAGCACTATTACAGGTGTAATGTACAACTGCAAAGATGAACACTTGGCTTCTATCAGCCTTAGTGGGGGCCTTATCCTTCATAACCTTGCTTCTGGTGCAAGGGCTGCTGAACTCAAGGACCCCAATGAACAGGTTTTCTGTAGAAAAAAAGATTTTCTTTTTTCTTTTTTGAATCCTCTGCCTCTTAAGTTCTAGTTTTTTCTTTTTTCCCCCTATTTTCAAAGTTGAAGTGTCTTTTAACCACTTATGTTTAAAATTGTAAGACCAGGTGTTGAGAGTTCTTGATTATTCCCGGATTAGTCGTCACCTTTTGGTGACTGCTGGTGATGATGGTACTGTTCATCTGTGGGATACAACTGGTCGGAGCCCTAAGGTGTGCGGTTTTTCTTTCATACATCACATACCTCATGTTGAAACATTATGCAATGATGAAATACAATTTTAATTGGTACAATAGACAGTTTCTCTCTCTTAAAAGCATTTTCCAATTTAGTATTGCTAGAGGCTTCCATTAAGTTGCTTATGCTCGCACTGATATGTTACTTGTAAAATAATTAATTAAGAATAGTCAAGTTAGTTTGTGGAGTTAGGTTATTAATGAGCGTTTGCTTAGAATTGACCAATGGCTGTTCTGCTGTGACTGAGTTGGCTGTTCTGCATGATGAAATCTTGGATTATCTTTGTCCCTTTTTTGGTCCTTATCCTTCTCTGTTTGTCCCCCTCCCGCCCCCCCATATAGATATATCACACATATCTAAGTGATATAGAACACTTGTGTGCAACCAGTTGTTCAGTCCTGATGCTGTCTTGTTGCTTTGCATATTAGAAAGCAACAGTTAAATGTGCAATCATATAACTTCGCGCAGGAATTTCATTTTGCGAATTTCATTGCAACAAATGCATGGGTCTTACTGCCATTAGTCTAATTATTAAATTTGAATTTATTAATTAGTTTGTTATGATTGAAATACAAGGAGTCACCGCATCCTGTGCCTTTGGCATTGCATGTAAAATCCTGCAGAAGATTTGTTCAATTCTTGCTTCATTTTCAACTGAATTTTCAAATGCATCTTTGGGAATTGACTGTCTACATTTGCTTTTCTCTTTTCTTTTTCTTGTGTTATGGGTAAAACAATATAACAGGTTTCATGGTTGAAGCAACATTCTGCACCGACTGCTGGTATTAGCTTCTCTCCATCCAATGACAAGGTTTCATTTCTGATGGCTTAATCATATTTAAATATACTGGGGATATTGTTTATCCTTTTGTGAAGTCATAAATCTCTCAGTAGGACAGCTAATCAAATATTGAAGTTCTCTGCTTCCTGACACCATTCTTCTGTTGACAGATAATTGCTAGCGTGGGTCTTGACAAAAAATTATATACTTATGACACTGGTTCTAGAAGACCGTCATCTTGTATATCTTATGAGGCACCATTCTCTTCATTGGCCTTTAGGGATGATGGATGGATGCTGGCAGCTGCAACAAGCAATGGTAGGGTTGCTTTCTATGATGTTCGTGGAAAGCCACAACCTTTTGTCGTTCTTCATGCTTATGGTAGCTCTGAGGTAGTTCTTTGCCCCGTTTAAAACTTTTTATTTGCAATTATGGAGTCAATTTGTTGTGGCCTGGTGTGTGATGAATGAGAAATTAACTTGACATAGAAGCTGCTTTAAGTTACAAATTTTACTGAAGATGAGCATTCTCTCGATCCCAAGTAATGGTGGTCGTGGATGGTAGGAACCGCATGCAAGATTAGTTCTCTTGTGTCTACTGTACATAGCTGTTGGAACTGGGGCCAGGTTAGGGCAACATGTCCGTTGGGGTTACTAATTAATGTGGTGGAATCCATTCATATCGACTAATAAAAATCAATTTCTTGGTGAACTAAAATGACAAATGCTGTGCATATTATCCAAGATTTAATTAAGTATAATATCCCTTACTGATTGATTATTTTTATCGACTTTTAATTCATGATATGAATTTACATTATAAAGTTTGTTATAAATAAATAATCATACTTTTATCTAGTATCTAGTAAAAGTATGATATCTTGAAATCATACTTAAAATTGCTCTATTTTTTTATTAACTGATGAACAAAATCTTTATGTATTGAATAAGGGGGATGTGGGGTGCGAAGGAAGGGGAAAAACTCTGAAAGTTCTTTGAAAGTCTTTCCTGGCCTAAAGTGAAAGTTGAGAGTGCTTTGTGGTCTATACACATTTTAGGCGCAGAAGAGAGAAGTGTGTGAGATAAGCATAAGCTGGTCAAGTGAACCTGTTTAAATTAGATACTGTTTTAAATTTTTACCTTTAGAGGGCAAGGGTTAATTTAAAGATGAAACTAGAACAGACAATTGGCCAGTTCACCTGTAATCTGGGCTGAGTGACCATTTTTTTCTACTTCTTACTAAAAACCTTCAGTTGGGTTTTCAAAACATTGATTTTGATCTTATGATCTTGATTATTCCCTTAAATTAGCTTATGAATTTATGTTTTCAAACTTTTGCTCTGACAATGTATATTGGGGAACAGGCTGTTACGGGCTTATGCTGGCAAAGGTCAAAACCTGTAAGTGTCAATGAAGCTAATTGCACTGCTGAGACAGCACTTGTGGGAGATTCAGTTGAAGATTCCATCCTTATGCCGGATCCTTTACCTTCTGCAACCTCATCAAGTGTTTCTCTATCTACTGTTATGTCAAGTTCTAGGAATTCTGCTCGTGTAAATGCCTCTATTGAAGCATCTTCGCTTAAATCATCTAGCAGTGGATTGGTGTCAAGCATGCTAAATGTGTCTAGTGGAGAGGAAACACCACATCGAAGCCATTTATGGCCAGGTGGAAATCTCTCAAGGCTAAATGCTCCACGTTCTAATTATAACTTCAAAGATGACATGGAGGTCTTCTCCCCCCTTGTGGATGTTCAACCAATAACACCCTCACTATGGGATGAGAATGGAGCAAAGAAGGATAACATATTTGCAGATAGGAAACCTTCATCACTGTTGTTTCCTTCATCTAGCAGGAGATTTCCAAATACAGAAGAGGGCAGCATTGATCATCCAATATTTGATTGGAAATCTGGCTCAATTTCCAAGCAGGTTCTTGTTTCCCTGTGGCCTTAGTTTTGCATTTAGCTGCTCTATATGATGCGTATTACTAGAATTTCCCAATATTGAATGCAAAGATTTGAAGTTCCTTGAGAATGATCTTCAAAAGATTTGAGCTCTAGTATATTTTAATTTTGACTTGCAAAGAAAGCACGCTGCTTAAGAGCAGTGGTTAAGCATCGTAAATTGATTCATCAAACTAATCTCCAGTGCTTTGTTTTTTTCACCCTCTAGCGCAAAATGATTTTCAGGATTTAATACTCTTTCCGCTTCAAAATATAAGCTAAACTTTATCTATTTACATTTATCAAGAAACTAGTTAAAATCACTTTAAAACAATAAATATGTAAGGTATATATATATATATATTTCAAAATATGCCCCTATTAATGAAGAGAATAAGTAAAGGATGTAATAAATGAATTAAAGAAGAAAGAGAATATATGGGGCTAAAATTGGAAAAAACTCATTAAATGCTTAGACAAAAGTAAATGTTATCTTATAAAAAAAGACAAGCCCTTCCAACAAAGTTTAGCTTATATTTTGAACTGGAGAGAGTATATGCTTACACATCTTGGCGTGAATCCTTCAATTCACTTTCTCAGGGTAGTTCATTCAAGTGAGGTTACTCATTTTGAAATGATTATATTGCTTTATAAATTCGTGTAGGATGAAATTCGATCTTCATTTTCACCTGTGGAATCAATTGCTCCCCCATCTTCGAAGGATGAAGCTTCTTCAATCACTCCTCCAGAAGCTTGGGGTGGTGAGAAGTTATCTGAAAAATATACTTACCTTCGTCAATCCATCAATGCACCTTCTCGTTTTGGGACGTCAGCTTCTGGTGTTCAGACAGCAGGATCAATGTCTTCTGGATTGCAGGCTTCCTCATCATCAGATGTTACTTCTCTTGCGACTTCAAGCATCAATTTTGCCAATCTACGCAGCAAAGATGTCTCCACTAGTCAGGAGACTTCATTAGGTTTTCCTGATCACTTGTCTTCTAACTCCTTGGCTATCAATACAAAATCCATTCTTGGACAGGTTAACCTGGATTCCCCACGGATCTCATCTTTGACCCGGCGATTTTCCACTTATGCGGAGAGAATAAGCACTACATCTACCTTCAGTGATGGAGTATCTCTTTCTGTAGGATCACCTAAGATGAAAAAATATGGAGCAGAAACAAGAGAAGAACTTCTTAACAACTTGCTGCTGAAGTCTGATGCATCAGTTTCAACAGAATCAAGCTCTGTATTACCTGCAAATGTATGTAATTGTGAAGTCTGTGCATTATTTATACCTCCTGTTTGCTTTGCAGTTACTATTGTTTGATTGTTTTCATTCGACTGTGTAGAGCAGTTATCTCTCTATTCCTTCATCCTGGATACTTCCGCAATGTCGGCATAAAACTAAGCGCTGTGTGTGTTTCATTGTGCTAGTTCTGGTGTTTAGTTCGGATTTTAGATTCAAATTGGTCAAAGAAGCTACTATGATAATCTGCTCATGGATATATTTTTACTTCCCTTGTGTATTGATGTGATATTTATCATAGGGTGTAAGCGCACAACCACAGAAAGCATCTCAGTCAGATGCACAGCAAGGTTCATTTACACTCCAGCTTTTTCAACGAACCTTGGAAGAAACTCTGGATTCGCGTCTGAAACCCATACATGAGGATATGAGGAACCTTCATATTGAAATGTTAAGGCAGTTTCATCTGCAGGAGGTATGCATCTAAAATTACTTTTCCATTTTTTTTTCATCATTTCCATTTATTTTCTCCTCATATTAGTAGCCACATTTGACAGACGGAAACATTTAGCGTGATGAAATCCATTCTGGAGAACCAAGCTGAGTTGATGAAAGAAGTGAAGTCTCTTCGCCAGGAATTTCAACAGCTCCGGCAACTGCTTTGACTTCTGTTAATAAAGTTGTAACCTCTTTTTTTTTTTTGGGGCCCCTTCTATCCTGTGTGGGGTTTGTTTGTTCGTTGACAAATTGACGTTTAATGTATGGCCTGTCATAGGTGTCTAGATTTGCTTCTCTATGGGCAAGAGAAGTTTAGGAGGCGATGATTGAAGAAAAATATGGAAGGGAAAGAAGGAAAATTGCTTGTCGCTAGATTAGGACTTTAAAAATGTACAGAAATGATTATTTGCAGATTTGTATGGGTGCATGTCTGTTGATTGATCGATTCAAAATTTGATTTAATTCGAGTTTCTGATTAATTGATCAATCCTTTTGAAGGCTGAGTAGGTGGTTGTCCACTTCTCTCCAGGACAAGTTCTGGACATTTCACGTTATCTAGTTAAGGAATTATCATGGTTATTTCCAAACAAGCCCAATTGACTTATTTTTCTAACGAAGTCCGCTTCTATGCAAAGTATCAACTTTTAGAAATGAGACAATAATTGTACACAACTTGAAATAGTATGACTTTTCTGGCCCCAAAAAGAAGAAAGAAAGAAAGTAGTAAGCGCCTGTTTGGTACATTGGAATTGATTTTGATAGAAATGGAAATAGAAAGAGAAATGGATATGAAAAATGAGGTCTAGGAACATGCTTGGTATGACATGGAATTCGGATATTATTTTTATTAAATATTTATATTTAAAAATGTGAAAGTACTAGGATGTCCTTGTTTAGAAAAATCCTAACAGTGTCCTAAATATCCAAACCACTATTGACATTGTCGTCATTCTCGTCAGAAAACCAAACCCAGTATCAAATCAAACACAAAAGATCCATTCATAAACATGTGTAGAATTAGATTAAAAGAAAATGTCTTGCTTGAAATTGAAGAACAAAATAAAAGACGACTTGATGATGAATGAAGACAAAGTGGGGAAGACAGATTTGGCCATCTTGATGCTTTGGAATGAATCACTGTTGAGCTTCAACCACTATCATGGATTTCTACCGCCACTGTCAACCTTCTCCTTCATCTCTCCTTCCTCTTCTACTTTGTTGCTCTCTCCTTTTCCAGCATGGATTTTCTTGTTTTGTTCCAGATGTAAGTTTCAAATATGTGTGGAGAAGAAGATGAAACACCATCAACTATCCAAACCATCATCACCTTTGCCAAAAAATCAATCTAAATCTAATCAAACTCAACAATATCAATTCAAACGTAGAAAAAACATATGAACAATTGAAGATCTGGAGAAATCAAAGGTATAAAAGATGAAGAAGGTAAAGAAGTCGAAGGTGGGGAAGAATTGAAGATCTGGATCAGAACGTCGAAGATCCGTCGATCTCGCCGTCGGTGATGGTGACAAAGCCAAAGAAGTCGAAGACAAGGCAGGGATATGCAGGAGGCAAAGATCTATGAAGGAGGTGTATATCTCATTGTCTTGTTAGAGATATGGGAAGATGAGTCATTGTTAGGGTGGCTGGAGATCGCCATTGTAGGTCGCCATCATCGTTATGGTAGGCTGGAGGATAGTGATAAAGTGATAGAAGTCTTAATGAAATGAAGGATGAGGGGCAAAACTAAAATTTCATGGAGTTATCTAGAATTCCATGGGTTATATGATGGAATTGGAGAATTCCATGGGTTATATGATGGAAGCCAATTCCATCAATTTTGAGGGGGTTGGCTTCCACATGGAATCCAATTCCATGACCCATTTTTTGTACTAAACAAATTTTGTGGTAGAAATCAATTTTATTTACATATCCATCCCTCCAATTCCATCGTACCAAACGGGTCCTAAGGCTTTCTCATTTATATTATTTTTTATTATTAATATAAGAGTTATTTAATTAATTTAGGTAGATTAAGAAATTCAAATTAGTTAATTATAATAAAATATGTGATTTTTTAAAAATACTTTTATGTATTAGATAATATATATCAATTTATAAATTAAGTAAATTAGTTTTTAAAATATAAATATGAAACAAAATAAATTAGAATCTCATATTTATTTTTAAACCTAACTTTCTGAGGGGGAGTAACTTATTTATAATGATATGGACCGGAAAAATTATGCACCAAGAAAAGACGAACAATTGTAGTATTACCTCTATGACAATTGGGAGGGGAAATTCATGTTTGTTTAAAATATGAAATGTCTAGATTTTTCAATTTTCATATTAAAGCTTTTCTCCTCCCCTCCTTCATTGGATATTGGCTGTGAGTGTTTCATGTGAGAATTCTTCATTTACGAAAAGGGATCTTTTAATCACTAAAACTCTTTCTTCGTTGGTGGCTTGCTCACTTATTGATCTACTTGGTTCCATTTTCAATGAGACTAAAAAAATTTCCTAAAAAATATACTTAGAAGAAGGGGCGAATAGATTGTGGAGTAATAAAATAGTCCCACTTCCCTTAAATGACATGCACCCATCTATTATTTATTTGTCGAGGAGGTTGGTGATTGCTTGGGAATGGGATGAAACAATCCTTACAGATCATTGAAGATTATTATATCCCCACATTATTATTTTCCAGCTCTTTTATTCCCCATCACGTTTGTCAGAGTTCAAGAATTGAAGAAGCATCTCTGGTTTAAATAATGTTTCCCTACCTTATTCATCCATGCATCTTCACATATAGAATCATAAATCCCAAAAAAGAAGTCGCTGCTATTCGGCTCTGGTATATCTGATCGCATGCCTCCTAAGCCATAATTGATACATCACGCTGTGAAACGAATCCAACGGCTCTGGTTTCTCATTCCACACGAAATGCTTGCTCGCTGCCACACCCAATCCCTTCATTCGCTCACCCCGATCTCTCCACGTGTTATTCAGCACTTGCTTCAGCTCCCCTCTTCTTCCCCAACTTCTCAGGAAAACCGCCATCTCCTGCCACCTCAGCAGGTCAACAAACGGCAGGTCGTTTATTGGTCGATCAGCTATCACCACAGGCACACACCCGAAACGCAAGGCCTCACCGATCCATGACACGTCGTTTCCGTGTTCGAACAGACAAAACTTACTGCTACTCAATCTCTTCGTAAAAGTAGTTTCATCCGACGGGTCCCCTTCGACATGGAAGTCCTCATCGCTGACCAACTCGGCGATCAAACTCGGCGACGTTATGGCTTTGTGCCTCACGTAACCCAGAAACCTCACCGTTCTGTTCGCCGGCGCGTGAGAATTATAAATGATAGGAGGAAGCGTCACGTCCTTGTGAGGGATGAAGTGCCCGCCGTCCTTTCTTCCGGGAAAGCAAGAGATTTGAACCGAGTTCTTCTTCAGCTCCACGACGTTCCGGTTTGAGTCATGGCCAACCCCGTCGCAGGACAAGAAAAAGTGGTCGGCGCCGAGGGCGCGGTTCCAGTAAGGGAAGCCCTTCCGTAGGCTTCCGATGAAACCAGCGAGGGACCGCAAGGAGGTATCGGGAGAGAAAGGGACGAAGAAAAAGTGTGCTTCTTCGGCGTTCTGGGTGACGAAGTTGCTCCTTTGAAGCGTGGCGTAGAACATCGATTCAGCTTGGGTCGTATAATTGAAGGCTTTGTTCGGTTTGTAGATGAAAACCTTAAATTTCTGAACCATTTTCTGATAGTTGAGGATGGTGGTGGGTGATAAGTAAGGCGAAGTATTGAGAAGGACCACTGGTTCGGATTGTGCGATGAGGAAAAGAGAGAATAAGCAGAAGAGTACAGAGAAGGAGGCCATATCGGAGATAGTGAAGAAGATGGAAGAATAGTAAGATCAGACGAAGTTGCTGTGAAACGTGAGAGAACGAAGAAGTTATTCTGAATGGTTGAAGATGAACGTAAAGCCATCGACTTGATATTTTTAGGGATATAAATGTTCCATGAAACAATGACGTAGATAGTATAATCGTTCTAATCCATGCGTATGGTTTTGTTTTTGACTATTCACAAGTTTGAAGCCACGGTCGTCAGCTATGAGACGATAATTTCAAAATTCTATGTTGCCAAGTTTGGCCAAAAAGCGGGGAGGAAAAAAAAAAGATTATATAATGAGATGGCGTGATGCATGGAGGCTTTTTATCAAAATTATTATAGGGGTTTATGTTATAAAAATATATATATTCTCAATCGTGACATAACTTGAAGGCAAAAACGAAAAGGAGATAAAAATATAATATATTTGCAATGATTAAATAATCTCTCTAAATTAGTTATTCAGTTCTTAAATTAAGTATCAGAAGTAATATTTAATTAAATTGATGCTATTTGTTGCGTTTGTGTGTGTGAGCTATTCATTCTGACTTGAAGTGCATTGAGTGTCTTCTTTTAAACATTTTCCCCTCGGAGCCTGACAATTCAGTTCAATCTAAATCGAGCAATATTTGATGGGATTATTTATTTGGTTTCGTGTTATGATGAGGCTTTTTAATATTAGATTAATTCAGCCAAATACAACAAGTTAACATCTAATGCGGGGTTAATTAAATGAGTAGTTTTGGATTTGCTAATAAGGTTTAGAAAACAAAGGTTTCATTCTTAAATTATTACTGTGAATAGAAGACAACACATCGCGTGTTCTTCAAGTAGGAATCTTTGTCTTGCAAAAGACGTCGTCCTGGCTATTGACCTAGTCTATGTATCGATGCATTCTTGTACATCAGTCTTTGTAGATAAAGAAGTTCATATCAGCTCAAAATAAAAAAAACACAGAAGTTCATATTTATATATATATATATAATTATTAGCAATCATTTTCCTTAGGCCCTAAGAAGTTGACTTTTACTTTAGCTAGACAAGCTACTACCTCCGGTCCTAATTATAAGAGTCAGTTGACTAATTTGAGGAGATTAAAGAAGTAAGTTGAGTTAGCTATTTGTCCCAAATAGGTGTTGTCTTTCCTAAAATATCATTACTAATCAAGTGTATTGACTAAAACTATAATTATTATAAGGGTTATTTTGGAAAAAATATATAAACATGAGAGACAAAGTGGATTGGGGTCTTATATTTAGGATCAAAATAAAAATCAAATAGGATCTTATATTAAGGATCAGAGATAGTACTAGTTAATACTACCTCTGGTTGTAAATGAAAAATCTAATTTGTAGTACTGCAACTAAAAGATTTAATTTGTAGTACTGCAAATTACACTATAAATTAAGTTTTATATTTAGTATCAGAAAAAGTAGCAATCTATTACTATAATAACCAGCATCAATATAAACCGTATTTAAGACTTTTCATGATCTGGCTCATTTGGATTACGAAAAGACACTATTATTGATTTTGGGTTTCGATTTAGGATATATCCTTGTATATATGTGAACCTAACCCCTCATTGATGCCTCATGGTACCATCCACTGCGACCACTAGGCCTTTTTTTTTTTTGAATGAACGAGGTATTTTATTTGAAACATTTTGCCCTTAATAAGATAATGACATTTGGATATTTTATTAAAAAAAACTACTGTGTATCTGAATATGAGAAAAATACTGGCATCTTGATTACAACTAATTTAAGGGAATACAATTTAAAAAAATAAAAAATATAAACAATGTTATGATTTTTCAATAAACTAATAATGGAATATTTACGATCTAGTGACCAAAAATACTAAAAAATATATATAATACTACCTCAGTCCTTAATATAAGACTTTGTTTGACTTTTATTTTGGTCTTAAATATAAAATCCCAATCCACTTTGTCTGTCATGTTTATGTATTTTTTTTCAAGGTAGTCCTTCTAATAATAGTATTTTTAGTTAATACACTTGCTTAGCAAGGATATTTTAGGAAAAAAAGACAACAATTTATTACAAATAACCAACTTAATTTATTTTTTTAATCTTCTCAAATTAGTTAACTAATTCTTATAATTAGGACAGGAGTTAATATTATAATTTCATGACGTGATTTTCAGTTTATGACCAAACGTAACTTTAGGGCCATTGGTCCAATTCCAAAGGCTCCGACTGAGGGAACTGATAGACATACGGCCCACAGGAACTTGTAGAACAATCCGTGGTCCAGTCGTCAATATTAATATATATTTTCAAAATTCAAATGATGTGACAAAAAGGGCGAAAAAAATGGAAGTAGCATGCATTACTTTAGGAATTTAAAAATTAAAAAAAAAATGCAGCATCCAATCAAATTAAAAATAAAATATTAGATTACTTAGTCTTGTAATACTGTGGCGCTTGCTTCTAAAATATCTGTAGTTTTTAATCCATGAGTATTTTATAACCATTTTTTTAAAAAAATAATACAGTTTTTTAAAAAATTAGAATCACTTTGTACTAAATTTAATTGAAGGCAAGAAATTTAAGTATGCAAGACTATGTATCCGAATATTCTATTAGCAGATATGCAGCTATTTCTATATTTAACCCAACACGCACCAAACTTCATACTAAATTAACTTTAAGTCATATATAAATGATCTTTTTTAATTTTCAAATTTCACCCTGAGCCCCCTAAGGTATATTATTTATGCAAATAACTCCTCATAAGTTTGCACAGTATTTATTTGCAAATAATTTAAAGTTCAGGAAAGTTATTACATATAGCCTAAATTTTGTTATATGCACACAAAAATAAGTTTAAAAAGGTATATAATTGATAGTTGCCAATAAACCTGAAAGTTCAGAGTATTCCTTGATGGTAAAAAAAAAAAAAAAGTTCAGGGTATTCCTTATTAAATTCTAAAGTTTTTAAAAAAATATTTGTGCATATCGCAAAATAACTTTGTATAATTAAATAAATAATTTTGTAGATTTTTCTTCTTTTATACCTAAATAAATGGATTGCGAGGTGCCTAATAATTTGAACAAGTGTGTGGAACTGGATTATATGTAGGAATCATAAGTTAAAAAACAGATTTACAAATGGATGAGCACCCAATGCTTATCAGATTTGAACGGTCCGTGTTTATTTTTATTTTTTAAAAATAATTATTTTAATAAGTATAGAATAAAAAATAAAAATAATCTCTTAACTATTATTTTTTAAAAATATAATTTTTTTATTTTAAAATAATTATTTAATAATATTAAATTTGAACCGTTCAGATCTAATCTGAACCGTCCAGCACCAAATGGGGATCCGGTTTTTAACTTTCTTGCCTTGCGCTCCCCAAGTTAGGTGCTTATTTGGATCCTTTTTTTGTGTGTGTAAAAAAGTACTTTTATGTCCTCTAATATATTCAGAATACACGGCATAGTCAAAACGGAAAAAAAACAAGAAAAAATTACTATTATAAAAGTTAAATAACTAATTTGAAGAGATTAAAAAAATTAATTAAGTTGATTATTTATCATAGATGTTTGTTGACTTTCCTAAAGCCTTAAAGAATAATAAATTTAAAATACAAGATGGATTGATAAATTTGGATGACATCACCTAGGATCGCTGGAAGAAAGTTCCCAAAATGCTCACTAATTGTATTTGCAGGCCAGGGTTAACCCAAAAGATAATTTTATTTTTTAATGCAGAAGAAAGTCAAGTCCATATCTATCAAATTAAAGATTGCCAGACTTTCTTAGGTTGGCTGGCATGATCGCTAGGCTGCTGGGCATGAACAATAATGAAGTGGGGCAAGGACAATTGTTGTTCATATGGTCAAAAAATGTATTCGAACTCTATTTGAACTCTGAAGTTCCATTTTTGATCGATCAAAAACAATGTCAAAACAAAGCACTTACGTATACGCACGTGGATTTAGAACAAGTGGGAGGTGAGATTGAGGACAACCCGTGACTGGTGACTGAATCAATGGATTGTGTCTGTGTATTGTTGGAAACAAAATTTGGATAAATTCCTCGAATGCCCTCCAAGGGGCGGCTGGCTTCGCATTGCTGTCGCTAGTTTGGCTGCTTTTGCCGCTTCTGCCTGAACGTCAGCCTCTCTTTCACTCGCTTTCGTGCTCTTTCATATCTGACGTTGGTCGGCGCCAGTCCACCCCGGACTTCCGACACCGAACTGCGCTGCGTTGGACATGGACGCCGCAGATCCTTCTCGAGTTTTCGTCAAGGACGTTAAGCGCATTATCATCAAGGTGGGTTGCATTTTCTTCCACCACTCTCCTCCAAAATCTGTTTTTTCCCCTCGCTATATTGCATGAGAAATGGCGTCTTTTCTAATTGAATGCTTCTTTGCTAGTTTACTGTGCAAGTGGGAAGCAGTTCCCTTGAATCCGTTGGTTCCATGTGATGGTTTTGTACAAGTTTTCAAAACCAATTAAGTTACAGTAATTGGTAATTCAGAGTTGCATACGGGTGAACTTTTTTCCCGGCTTTGTTAATGCTTTTTGAGGGGTAATTGTCCGAAGTAATTAAGTTTTTGAAGTTGATACGATGGATGGTGTCGTATATTAATGACTGGGGTGGTTGTTTGATGCCAATGCTAATGTTGCTCTGTTGATTGTTCTAGGTTGGGACTGCTGTTGTGACCCGTAAAGATGGAAGATTAGCAGTTGGAAAATTGGGGACGCTCTGCGAGCAGGTATCTCAAAATGGTGTTCAACGTCTGACTTGTCATGGTTTGTCAAATTGTCAAGGGCCTTTAAATTTGGCATTTTTAACTGTACACTGACTTTTGAAACTAATGTAGATCAAGGAGCTTAATTCTCTGGGATATGAGGTTATTTTGGTGTCGTCTGGTGCCGTTGGCCTTGGTCGCCAAAGGCTTAGATACAGGAAATTAGTTAACAGCAGGTTAGACATCATTCCTAAGTACACCTTCAAATCTATTAAATTTTAGAAATTTGGGTAGATAATTATTTCTTGCATTTATAATCAAGTTAAAATATTAATTTTCTTCTTTATTTCATATACTGTTGTAGCTTTGCTGATTTACAAAAGCCACAAG